CAAGAGGCAGTAGGGTGTGGTGATTAAGATGCTGGATTAGAAGTGGGCAGATCAAGATCCTAGTCCTCCATGGAAGCCGCCTGGGTGATGCTGGACCCAGTTGGTTCTTCCCATCTCAGATTAGCGTCGCCTTCTGTAACATCCTGGCTGAAAATCAGATTCCCGATTGCGTCCTGAAAGCACAGGTTGACTTGGAAACTCTCCCCAGGCTGGATCCTTGGCGTTCTCCCCAAGAGGCCAACTAGATAAGAGCCTTTTGATTTTGAGAGCCAGCAAAGCAAGAAACGGAGGCAGCTCCCAACCATCCAAAGGAGCTGCGATAACATCAATGAAATGGGAAAGGTGAGATAGGGAAGGCAGGCAGGGGTCTCGCTCGCCCTGGCCAAAGGCCCAGGTCAGAGGTGGACAACTCTTGAAGTCCCTGGGTCATAGGTGTCGCCATAGGGTGCCCACCCTTGGCCTAGATCAGGGCTCTCGAAACTTTGCAACTTTAAGACTTGTGGACTTCAACTCCCAGAATTCCCCAGCCAGCATTTAAGCACAGAAACCTTACAGTTGCCAAGGCTGAAGGGGGCCTGGCCTAGGCGAAGGCCAGGGCTTCATGGGTCTTCCAAATGCCAGCAGAAGTGGGCATCCAGGGGTCAGAAAGAGCTGCCAGGACCCTGAAAAATGATATGGTAGAATTGCAAGATGGCCAAGCATACGTATGCGCAATTTTGTGAATGCTCCCTGCACCTTGCAAATTTATTGTTTCAATTTATTAAACAATAACCTTGCACCATTTCTTTGTTTCATTTATTTAACTGCCATCTTGCTTGGATGTAACTATGGGCAACCTGCTTGCTACACAACTAAACAAACAACATAATGTACCTGTTAAAAACAATTAAAAAGAAAAACAGTAATGAATAAGATGGGGAGAATTACTTGCTCCACTAAGCACTCTCACTTCACCTGACGAGGTGAGTCGGGCAAAGTATCAAGATTTCCCTTTTCATCCCTTTAGCGTTGACTTTCTCCAGCAAACGTTTACCCTGAAGGTGAGGAAGAGAAATAAGGCCACTTCCTTAGGCAGGTGGTGTCTCCCCTCAGGGGTCTCTTCCTGGGGTCCCCCAGTGAGATGGAGGTGAGGTCAGCAAAGCCACCCCTACTAGGAGCTACCAAATGACAGAACGCCTTCCCCACCCATCGCTCTTAGTTGTCGGTGTCATTTGTACCTATTAACCTTTGGCTCACCTGAAAAACGTTGAAGGGTAATTCAATGCTTTTCCAAAGGAGGCTTTGAAGTTCTCTGTTTGCATTGCCTGGGTATTAGTTGTCAAGTGAAAGCATGAGGGCAAGTGCCATCCGGCTGCTCCCTGCCCTTAGGGTCCACGGCACCTCCCACGCCGAGAGCTGGGAGGCTCACCACCAGAAGAGCAAGGAAGGCAGAAAGGCAGCTGGTATGAAGCCCAGCGCAACTCAAAACCATCAAGGGATCTTAGAAAACGATGAAAACATACAATCCTAGGGCTGGAAGGGGCCTTGGAGGTCTTCTAGTCCAACCTGCTGGCCAAGGCAGGAGACCTTGTATCATCCTGGATAAAGGGATGTCCAATTTCAGGGATGTGGTTAAAAAGACAACCAACTTCTTGGCCCAAAATCTAGATTTTTTTCCCCTAGTTTTAATGGCTGGAGATGAATATAGAAACATTCTGAAAAAAGGCATCTGCTGAGTAAAATCACCAATTTTGACCCAATACTCTGCACTTGCTAATAATTCTATCACACGTGGACCAGTTAAGCTTCAATGAATTGTTCAGTTTGTAAACAGCCATTTAAAGCAGCAACACCTTCAAAGAGAACAAACACCCCCCCACCCCAATGTAGTCAAAGGCAAACAAATATCAAAAGTTTCAATCATTTTTTATTCTGCTGTACATCAAGAAGTATTGTCTTTCAGTTCACATGATCAATATCAACAGGTTTATTATGTAAGATTTTATTCATAAATAGTCCACAGTAAAAGAGGGAATATGGTATATTTTTCTTTAATAATGTGGTATTTTATATAATAATTTAAGCTTAGAAAGATAAAAAGGATTTTATACATATTAAACACAAAGCACCACTAGCATTACACACTAAAATGTATTTCAACTCAGATCTTATGTAACTGGCGATGGTTCAAAGCTCTTTTCAAAAGAGAATCTAATTCCCTTCTAGGAAGAAGCAAGATGGATTGCCTCGTGCTAATTGTTAAAACCTATGAAATAGCATGAAATTTCTCTGCTACTACAGTAGATTATCTACAAGCTTAGGTTGCCAGTTAAGAATTTTTAAAAATTGCTGATTTGCCAATGTGGATTCATTTCCATTTCAAATCTTGATAAACAATGCCCCTTCCAGAATCGAGTGGAGTGTACAAGAGCCCACCTAATTTAACCCTTACCTCTCCAGGGCTGAACCGGATTCCACCCACCCACCCCCCACCTTGCCTCAGTTTCCTTCTAGGGCTAGGGGAGTCCACTCTCAAAAAACTCAGAGAGGGTCTGTCTTAGCTTGAAGGTTCACTGATTGAAGCCAAAAAATCTAGTCTCTCCCTCTCTCTATTTTGGCAAGGGAGTATTCAGATCTGGCTTTCTGATCCTATAATTTTTTTTCTAAAAAAAATATTTGTTGAAAAAAGCAGTTGCACCTTTAAAAGGAGCATGTTTGCCCCGTGATTTCTTAACTTTTTTTTTAAATCACAAAATTCACTCAGTAGTTGTTTTTTCTAGGACATCCATGAATATTTATGGAATCACACACTGCACCGGGAGAATATCTGCCATTGTGAGTATCCAGAGCATTTTAAGAACAAATGAAGGGAGCCTGAAGTCTGTAGATTTAAGGCTTTCCCAGAGGGAGGGCTGAAAGGCCTAATTCCAGCCCCAGACTTGGTAACGGAGAAAGGGAACCCATCTGGCTGGCTGGCAAAACAGTAGCTACAGATAGAAGGCAACAGTTTGGATGCAGAAATCTGTGAAAAGGGAGGGAAGGTGCAACATTAGACTGCAGCCCCCAAATCTCTGGACTTCTTGGGGGACTCTGGAGTGACCCAAAGAGCTCTGAACGGCTGGATCCAACCAATTATGTGAAAAATTTAAGGAAACTGTACCTATCAATACAACAATCTACATCAAAATATGGCCAATAGAACATTCTTTACCAGGAAAGGGCCTTGGTTATATTTTAACTGAATAGTATATTCTTTATTTTACATCTGAACTGGGGCAAAATATTTATAATTTGATTACAAAAGATGAGGTACATTCAGCTGTCCTGCAAGTACCATCTTACAGTGCCAACCAATCCTGCTCTCGCAATCTGTCATCTTCTATAACTCACGGTTGCCAGTCAACCCTCCTATGAACTGAGATGAAAACTCATCTTCCCTTCTGCCTCTTACAGAGACGGAGGCAGCCTAAACCTGCAAACCCTCTGCCAAAATAACGCTATGCGTTCTGGACAGAAATAAAAGCAATTATCTTCAGAAATAAAGGGAGGGGGGAGGCTTCTAAATGCAGTTTGCCATATGAAATGTCAAATGTTTAATATTCTGCATCTGAAGTTTATTACCAGTTACCGCTTCTCAGACTATTTCTGAAAACTAATGTTTATTGAAAATACAACCTCTTTTATGCCTTCAGCTTTCTAATCCTGTACAATTTCGCATTTAAATCCAACTGATATTTACCCTTATCCACCAGAAAGATATGTACAATGTGCAAAGTATGAATAATAGTATGTATATTTTCCTAACACCAATTTATCAACCCATAAATACAGAAAGTTTACGATTATCTGTCCATTGTCCTTTATGTATCCTAAACAAAGGCAGAAAGCTGTGTTATATCAAGACAGGCAGTTAATTCACATAAGCTGTCAACAGAGTGGATTTTTTCCAGTGGCAATTTCTATATGCGAAACAAGAAGCCCAGCACTTGCTCCATTAGCTATGAAAGTTCTTTGCTTGGAAGAACCTGCTGCTAAAGCTACGGAAGCTAGAATGATACAGAAGTAACCGAAGATCTAGAGCGAAGGGAGCCGTCTGATCTACGACAATGTTGAAAAGCCAACTTATCTGCTCTCTCTCTCTCTCTCTCTCTCTTCACGATGGAAGGAAGAAATTCCCACCATCAGTAAAGGCACTGAAAGTCACCCGAGAGGACAGAAAGGGGGCCTGCAAGTCTTCTTCTCCCCCCTCAAAACCATCATAAATGGATCCCAAATCTTCTCTGAAGTTCATGCTTGTAAGTAACTAAGGGTCCCCTCTCTGAGTTGCAGCCGCTCCCTTCTCTTTTCCAAAAGATTAACTGGGTCACTAAGGCCATCATGGCCAAAGGGCAGGTGGGGTAGCTCCGATCTCCCATCACCTTGTGTTCAGCTGCCCCTGCGAACACACAATCCTCGACACACGATTGCAAAAATGAGAGCTCCTCCTTGCATTCCCTGCTACGTTACCAGCCAAAGTTTGAACAAAGGAAAGCGGTAGCAATATGGAGCTAGAAAGGAAACGGGGAATGGAAAGCGATGGCTGTGGCTTCCTTCAGGATAGAGATCAACTCACACACAACGTGCGCACCAGACCACAGAAATCTTAGTATCTACTTTATGAACTTAAACACTGTAATGCCTCCGGAAGTTGTGCATGCACACAACTGTTTCAAAGAGCCGCTTCCAGTCTAAACAGGCACAAGAGGTGTGTTTAGCTTGGGTGTGGCTTTGCACATCCTCTGCAACAATGCCGAAACAGCAAGTACACAGCCTTGACCAGTGTACTTGGTAGCATCAAGTAGCCGCTGCAACCTGATGGATTGTGAAGTAGAGCTGTAAGAAGGCTCAACCGTTCCTTCTGCCCTCAAATAGGGATTTTTCTCCTGGATCTAAAGGAGGCACTTGGATCGACAGTACAGATAGGCTCCCTTTTGCTAATTTGTCACAGGAATAAACGTGCAATAAAAAACGACGGATGCGTGCCATGAAAAAGGCTGTTCTTCTCCATGGATTTTTAAGTTGTTAGGGAAGGTCCAAACTCCTCACACAACAAAACCTATTTAAAGTCTGCCCAAAAGGAACTTCTCAGGTCATCGGATGCTGCTTCAGTGGCATCCCCGTAAAACCAACACATATCACAACTGGAAGAGGAGCGTGTAGAATAAATGGGCTACGCTTGCGTCCTGCCTACCAACAGCACTAAGGCGGCGGCAAAACTAGAAAATGGGGACAAATCTGCCAAAGTTCAAAGTCCAGTATCCAATATCCAAATATTTTTAGATTGAGTGTCCAATGTCCACCAAAGCTTCAAAAAACCCCCAAGTGTCCCTTTCAGCAGAGAGAGAAAAGGAGTAAAGGGTAGAATAATCCAAATCCCGAAGCTTAGGTCCAAACCTCTAAATCTCCAAGGTCCAAAAGTCCAAGAGTCCCAAGAAAAATATTCTCTCCAAAAGACACTGATCTCCACTTTAAACAAAGTTTTCCTGGCGCTCTCTCTTCCGATATCAAATGTTTATAAAATGTCTCATTATCGCTTCCACAAAGTCTGTCAAATTAACCCCCTTTCTCTCCTTAAATTCCGTCTCTCCTCTGTGGCTGTGTATTCGAAATCCAAAGCTTATCTGGGCTCGCTTTCTCCTCCTAAATTTCCTCCGCTTTCGCCGGCTGCTAAATTGTGCGCTGTCACTGTCAAAATGGAAGCCGTCTCCGCTTATTTCTCAGCCGCTATCTAAAATACATTTTCTATTAATTCTGATACCAAACCTGGGAGGCCCAGGGTGTTTACTCGTATTGCAACTCAATTAAAGAAAGGCAATGCAGATACTGTTTCTGAGCAGTGACAAAACCCAAGCGTCATAATTGAAACCAGAGTCGTTCAGGCTCAGGCAGCCAATTTCAACCCCCTCTATTTCTGGGAATAGTCTTAGAATCACCTCCACCCCCCTCCCCCTAAATGCTTTAAAGGGCTGCTTAAGAAACTCTGCCTAGCGCAACTACACAACAGAATGGACTAGACCAAAAGCAAGGCAAACTAAGGAAGATACTTATTAGCAGCCTTTAATTGTCATGATTATATAGGCAATTTTTATGATGTTTCCAGTATGCTGAATTAGTTATTTCATACCCAAGGTGAAAAAAATCTCCTCATTAAAGTACACCTATTATATAAACAGTGATTTGGTAGATTTTTTTTTTTTTTTTTACAATTTCAAAGTCGCCTTGTAGCCAACTGATGTCTGATCTGCAAACTCTGGGAGCCCAGATTCTGTATCAGTGAAACTAGATCAATAGATAAAACTGAGAGAAATATCAATGGGATTATAGAGGGTTGAGAGAATTTAAACCCTTTTTAAAACGGTGTGTATTGATAGCGAAATAGTGCAATATTTTCTTATTTTCTTTTTTAACACTGAGAAATCAATCAAGCCAAAATAAAAATGTTCGAGAAGGTTTTTGTTTTGTTTTTTAAATTATGGTTGCAGTGCAATTCTACACGTCAACATAAAATAATTACAAAACTTTCAGAAACCATTTTTCACCAGGGTTTAGCCATTTTTGAGTGGTTTCAGTATTGGAGATTTTGCAATAGAGGTTTTCACTTTCCCAAGAAGAAAAACGTTATCATCTCTGTGACAAGCAAATGTAACATAGTTTAAAAAGGAGAAGTGATTCCTTGTGCATTGCAAAGAATTTTCTGATTTACATCGCAACCGGGAGACAAAGAGACTGAATCAACACACCAGTTGACATCACTGTAGAAGATGGGTTGATTCCTTAGAAGACCGGAACGCTTTCTATTTCATGGAATGATCATTTGTCTCACCAGGGTCCAAAAATTACTGTATCTTTGATTAGTTGGAAAGCTACCAGGTGTGCTTCATCTCACCGCTACTAAGTGCTGACTAAGGTGCACAGGAGGCCGCCTTCCATTCAACCGTTGAACTGTAAGCTAGTTCTTCACTTCTGCCGCTTCCTTCTCCGCACTTTCTTTGGTCTTCTCCATCTCTTCCACTTTTTCTTCCTTGTGCAGCAGCGATACGATCTCTGCTACTTGCTTGGTAGAGATATCGATGTCCTCCTTGTCAATCAGTTCGATCACCTAGGCAAGCATTTTTAAAAGGTTAGGGTTAGGTGTGCCACTTAGGTTTACTTCCTAAATATTTTTGAAAAGCTTGAATAGGAAAGTAAAAAAACAAGCGTCTTAAGCAACAAGTTTCCAAAGAAACAGGCACTTCCCATGAATGGATATTGTTATTTGGGTAACATTATTTCTCTGACAAATACACAGGAGCACCAACTTTTCTACTTACAGGTAGCCTTCATCCTTAATCATAAACATTTCTAGGAACTGAGATCCACACAGCTGAAGGGATCCATGCTGCCACGTTACACTACACAGACACAACAGTCCGTAGACAACTCAGGACACATCCGAGCATAAGGTTAAATCTGATGCTAGGTTGCCTGACGGAAGCTTCTGCTGGGCTCCCAGGGCCACGAAAGCAGCCCCGCCCTCCATTCGCAGGTAGAGCTCCTGCTCAGCGGACTCACCTTGACCACGTCGTCTATGTTGATCTCACCGTCCTTATTCTCATCCAGCGCCTCAGCCAGCTTGTTGAGTTTGCCTTCGGGGATTTCCTGGAGCTGCTTCATCACGTTAATAAGATCCTGGATGCTGATGAGGTTCTGCCTAAATGGGAAATGCAGCCTGTAGTGAAGCAAGTGGTTACTACCAAGGATCAATCTGTGCGCGAGGAGTCTTTGCATAACCCATCATTCCAGTGGAAATCGCAGTTATTTGCCACCTGGATTTTCTACAGAGGAACCAAGAACAACAGAGCCCCTCTGAGACGAGGGCGCCCTTTTTCTTCCTCAAAGGCTGGTCAACAACAAAAAAAAACCTTCCCTGAAGGGACTGCAATGATAAACTATAATCTCCCTCGGCCGCACTACCAACCACTCACCCAATGGGGGGACTGGGACCCCCGCCCAGCTGTTCTCCAACTGGTTTTTGGTCTGTCTCCAACTCCTGAATGATTCTATCGATCTGCCCAATCATTCGGTTCACTTTTTTAGTCAGCCTCTTGCTGGCTTTGGATTCTTCAACTATGTCTTCTGGTCCACTCTTAGATAGTTCCTTGATTTCTTGCAAATCCTGAGGGTGAAAGAGGAACATTTTTTTACACCATAAATCTTTTGATGCTAAAGAGGGGAGGGGGAGAGGAGAGCTGGTGATGGGAGCCGTTTCTAGCTTACAGGCAGCCCAGCCTAGGCCTACGAAAGCTACTGGAGGCCCCTCAGTCTTCCCAGGAGCCTCTGAAGACGCAAGGGCTCCCCTCGGGGGAAGGCGGCTGTCTGTGCCTGATGCTCAACCTGCCTCTTGGCCCAGAACCCCTGGCAGATCTGAATGAGGTGGAAAGGCCCAGGACGGAAGGAGACCCAACAGAGACAGTGACTCTGGTCCCCTCTGCGGTCTGAATCTCCAAGCACTGAGAGAAACACACGAAGGAGGCTGCATTTTGAGCAAAAAGGCAACAAGAGCTATCGGCGTCTCTTGGGGCTGTGAATGACCTCTGTTCCCGTCTATCAGAGCCGGGAGGTCTAGAAGACACAACTCACGTTAGCGCCCATTTTCTTTCAAGCCACCTGACTTCCCCTCCGGTCTCACCTCGCTGTATTCCTGCACGTCATCCTTCAGGTCCTCCAGTTCCTCCTTCTCCTTTGTCAGCAATTTCTTTTGTTCCTTCAGTTTAGTGCAAGCATCACTTAGCATGTCAATCTCTTCTTTTGTTATTTCTTCGCCCTGAATAAATGGAAAGGAAAAAGAACGTTAAGCCTCCTTTGTCCTCCACATCCTCCTGCCTCCTGTGTAAAATACATTATACAAGAGGCTCTAGAGGAGATCCAGGAATCGGAGAGATTTAAGGGCAAGGGATGCTACAGGGAGGGGAGGGGAGGCCCCTGGTCTCTCTGGATGCCATTCCATGAATTCAGCGTGAATCCTCACCGCACTATTCAGGAAGAGATCGATTACCATTGATACTGTACTTCTAAATATTTCATAGTCGCTCTGCGTAACATCAACCATCTTTCATATATTTATAAATGTAAAATAATACGCTCAAGATACGAGTGGCCCATGCCTGCCTCTCTGACTGCAGTTCCAATTGCACAAAATACACTTCCATGTTTTTCAGAGAATCGAGCGAAGGTAGGCAACTATTCTTGAGTGGTTTCTGGCTGGATTTTCATTGATGCCTCCCTGATTATTTGGAAGAGACCATGTGGAAGAGCCTTCTGCCATGGATCTCGGAGTGCCCCAGGAACCCTGACAACACAGACCTTATCCTCACTGAGGCACCTGTACCTGGCAAAACGCTCGGAGGACCTTGGCACCCTGAGCTTTACCGCCAAGCTGAGAAGGTGTCCCAAGAGCAGGATGAGGGCGATAGACAAGACCCTGGAAGGGGGGGGGTGCTTTCACCCAGAGGCTGGGTAGAGGAGCTTTGTTGGTACAGTCAGGTAGGAGAGCTCTTTCCTCCCCTGGGCTCATCCAAGAGAGTTCTCTTGTCTATTTGTATCCCAGCTTTATCATTTTTACAAATAACTCAAGGCGGCTATCTATCAAACGCTCCTCCCTACTCCTCCTATTTTCCCCAACACAACAACCCGGTGAAGTGAATTGGGCTGGGAGGGAGGGACTGGCCCAAAGTCACCCAACTGGCCTTCATGGCTAAGGCAGGACTAGAACTCTCTGCCTCCTGGTGACTGGCCCAAAGTCACCCAGCCAGCTTTCATGGCTAAGGCAGGACTAGAACTCGCCATCTCCAGCTTTCTAGCCTGCTGCCTTCACCACTAGACCAAACTGGCTCTCAGTCAAGTTTAGTCCAGCGGGCGACATGTCAAGAGGAAAGAATCACCTTTCATTCGATCAAGCCTGGATTTGAGGAAGAAAGCTCTGCCCTAATTATGTATTCACGTCCACTGAACGATCAATCGAAGTGCTGGTGCAGAAGGATCCCATCCCTTCCAGGAGAGTAAGGAAGCTCCCCGGAGGGACCGGGGATGGCACATCGCTTCCAGGGAACCGGGGTGGGGGTTGGGGGGGGTCTTTGTATGCTTCTGCTGTGGCTTTGGAAGGTGCCCTTGGCATGAACACAAGGAATGGAAGTGCCAATCATGCTGGCAAAGATTATGAGCAACTTCCTTGGTCATTTAAGACCAGGTGGGGCAGTCTCGGTACAAAAAAAGTAGCAAAAACAAAATAAGAGAAACTGAGAAAAAAATAGCAACAAGTACAGCTTAGTCAGAGCAAACTGAACACCAGAAGGCTGCTGACTTATGAAATTTAGAGTCCACAAAACAATGTTTCAAATTTTTGTGGAAACAGCAAATTTTCAATTGAACATTAACAAAATTTCTATTTACCCACAAATATTATATAAATCTGGGTAAAGCTAGAACACCTGAATTTTTTATTAAATTGCAAAAATAGTTGACAAACTTACTTTATGCTGTGGCTAAATCCACATACCTTCTTGTGCCTTTCCCGCATCCTTCTGCACTACAAACTTTCACAGACTGAGTTACAAACTGGCTATCTTATGAGGTATGCTACGCTATGACGCAGCGCACTATGCAAGACAGGAAAAAGTTATAATAAATTATATTATTTGCTTAGGTACATTATATCCATTTTATCCATGCCTGCAATATCCCCAAAAATACACAGCATTATAAGCACTAATATAACTTTTTAGGTTCCCAGGAAAAAAACCTGTATCATTGGAAGTACACCCAAATCAACGGGAACTTTTTAGGAAGTAAAACAGCATACAAAACAGAATAAGGCTTACATTAGCACTAGATTGCTGAATTTTAAAAAACACGGACCCTGCATATTCCAGATCTAGGTATCTTTAAGCTAAAATATTTTACCAAGAGATGCTGACAAAATGAAGCGGAAAAAGTGAATCTACATTAACTCTGAAAATATTCTGTTTGGTTTGCAAAACCAGTCTAATAGGACAATTTTTTCCCCTTTCCTTTCAACCGTGTCCGATTCTGAGAGGCTACCTTGAACAAATCCCCAAAGCTTTTTCAAAACTAGTTTGCCATTGCTTCCTTGGGAGGGAGGGAGGGAGAGGAGAGAGAGAGACTGGCCCAAGATCGCCCAGCTGGCTTTGTACCTGAGATGGGACTAGAACTCACGGTCTCCCAGTTCCTGATCCCACCAACATGGCTCTCAATTTGACAATGCTTTTATTGATTTTCTAGCCAAGAACTTTAAACAGATTTTCTACAGCATCCTACAAATGAGGGGTCCTTAACTTTACACACAGCTTTCACTGGTAAGAAATCACATCTGATTCTGTTTCCCGGAGAAATTCGTCTCTGGAGGAAACCGGAGTCTAGATCCCCTCTTATTTGGATTTTTTATAACTGCACCAGTCTGAAGGTGTTGTCTAATCGTTAGTTGTTGCTATGATCAACGGGCATTTATCAAATCCTGGGAAATTAAAGGAAGCTGCGTGCTCTCCCACTTCCGTTTAATGTTTAAATCCAACGTCCTGGTGGTTCCTTAGGAAACCTGCCCGCTCATCCGCTTAGGGTGACAGGCAGGCATCTCTCCATCTACTCCACTTTCTGTGGCTAACTCGGCCACCCTGCCAAAGTCCCACAGGTAGGAGAGCTTTGGAGGCTCTGGTAAAGAAGATCAATTAAAGAGGGATTAGAGTAGAAGTCAAGATTATCTTCTTTCCAAAGAGAGCAAAGGCTCACGCAGGATGCACAAACGGGCTCTGGATGAAGCAAGACTTCCTTCCTTCATAAAATGCCTGGGATGGTTTCCCAGAAAACTGCCGGCGGAAGAGCGCATGGTACTTATATACTCAGCCCCACAAACTGCCACTTACAAATTCTTCTCCGCTAGATACAATTCTGGAGAACGGGGACTGTTTTGCGGCCACAGCTGTCAAATTATGTGAAGCCAAATAGACAAGCCACCTCCAATATAAAAGGCACAATTCGATCTTTTCTCTACCTGCTTCCTCAGAAATTCAATCTGAACTACTTAGGCCAATACTTCAGGGGCCAATTGCCCCCCCTCCCCCCCGCCCTTACAACTAAAAATGGGATTAGTACAACTAGAGACAGAAGTTTTGTTAAATGCACTCAGCTCCTGGCCAACCCATCACTTCTCCTCAGTTGGCCTTCCTCTCACAGCACGGATGGTTTCCAATGGAAATGGAATTGCAATAGACCCTTATATCAAGTTCTCTTTCCCTGGGTTTACACCTCCTGACCTCCTGCTTTCTCAAGAGTGAGGAGGGGCAAGCCCACTCCCCATAAGCAGCACAGCATGCATAGAGAAGGACAGACTGATTGAAGCAGAGCCCCAATCTCCTTTTACCCAGGCATGAAGTTCATACTTGCCAAGTACCTTTCAGAGACAAGAGTCCCTGCTCACAGGAGAGAAAATTTTGCTTTGGCTCATTGGAGGAGTCCTTTGAGTGCTATTAGAGGAAAAATGTAAAACTAAAAAACCTCCCTTTTGAATGTTTATGCTCCAGAGATCAGGGACCGATAAAGAGACAACTGAGCATGTTTTTGGTTTTGCCCATTTCACACTGATATTCACAGTGTCCTTAGTTTTTCCAGTCACGCCTTGATAGCAATTCTTCCAGAACGTAACATGGCAAAGCCGTGAGGAGTTTGAAAGATTCATAGAGCACTTAGATATTGGTATCTTGGCTGGTGTACAGCTACTAAACGTTATGCTCCTTGAGCAGCAGTAGATAAAATGGCCTTTGTCCTATTTTTAGTTGGCAGCTATGTAATACTGTGATCAATTTCATTTTAAGCAGCTTAACTGAAGCTGACTTCTTCATGTATTTTTCTTATATTGTGTTCCAAATTCTATCTTTATTTCACGGGGGTGCCAATACTCTTATGCAGCCCGATTTTTATCAGCCAAAAACTGCCCATCCTTACTTTAAGTACTGTAACTGGAACCTTAAGTAACCAGCAGGTAATGAATGCAATAAGCCCGAGCCTTCTCTGTATCTCTTATAATTGGATGTATCAGCTCATCTGGATGGAGCAACCGTGAACTGCTTCCTGATTCCCCTGACTGCAGAGTTTGTGCTGAGCTTCCCGCCCACCTAACGTTTTACCTTCATGCCTTCCAATACCGGGGCCGTATCTTTCAAAACCTCTGACTGCAGGGTTAAATTCACTTTTGCCGGTTCTCGTTCAGCAGTGGCATCTAGAGAGACTTTGTTCAGAGCTGAGGAATCCAGATCTACTATCACCTCCTTCCGGAACACAGGAAACACAACAATTAGACACAAGATTTTAAACATGATTTTACATTTGGGATTGCTAGATGGATGCATGGATAAGGAATGCTTTTGGAAGTCTTATTTGGCTTTCTCTCTTTGGTTCATTGGGAGGATTTATATCCTGCCATTCCTCCAAGAGCTCCACATGGCATCCATATCGCTGCCTCCTCAAACCTTATGCCTTCCTTACTCACCCTTTCCGCAGCGTGAAGAGTCTCTTTGGCTTTTTCAGCCGCTTCGGAAAGCTTTTCCAGCTCTTTCTCGTGGTGTTCTTTCCTGATGGCTTCCTCTTCTTGAAGAGTTGCTTCCAACCTGGCTTTATTGTCAATCTTTTCTCCTTCCACTTCTGCCGCTTTCACCTGAGCCTCCTTTGCCTTTTATTTGAAAAATATATATAATAAAATGTTAACATACAGAGATACAGGACTTTCCTAAAGGATACTAAGACTTGTGTTTGCAGATCAACAAGCCAGTTCCTGCAACCTGTAAGACAGGAAACTTAACCCTATTTTCACCCAGGTAAATAACATCATCTCCAACAGAGACCAGCCAGAAACTCTGAGAAGCCAACCAACAAGATGCAAAGAAAATAATCCAGAAGAAAAAAAAAAATCCTGCAGCTCTCTATATGGTACAGGTAGTTCTCGACTTATGACCATATTTGAGCCCAACATTGATGTCGTTAACTGAGACATAAATTAAAGAGTTAAGTTACATAAGTTACATAACTGAGACACTGCAACCATCATAAGTGCGAACCAGCTGTCAAGTGTCTGAATTTTGATCACGTGACCATGGGGATACTGCAATGGTCATAACTGTGAAAACCAGTCATAAGTCACTTTTTTCAGTGCTGCTGTAACTTTGAACGGTCACTAAATGAACGGCCGTACATCAGGGACAAGCTGTATTGGACTGCAACATTGACAAACTCCAGTCCAGAGCCAAGCATGTTAAGAGGCCACATATAAGAGCAGTAAAATCAACATCCAAAGTAGATTTAAAAATCCATCTATAGGTATTGCCTTTCTTGAATTCCGGCTGCAAATGTTCAAATAAAACAAATCACATTACTCCGTTACTTTTAAGGTATTAAATTTAAATGCCCTGTAGGCAAGATCAACCAGCTGCAGAGGGAATATGAACGAACAGGTTATTTGGATATTGCGGTGGTTCTCAGCTTGTGGTCCATGGAGCCCTGAGGGGGCTGCAGCGTTGTCCCAGGGGGCCTGTGAAAGCTTAAAGAAATGCTACGATTTAAATCTTGAGTTGAGCCTTGGGGGTCCTGTGGTGTTTAGAGGGGGTCCATGGTGAAGAAAAGGTTGAGAACCACAGAGATGTCGCACAAAGAAAAGCTTGGACCAATTGTCTAGGTGAACCGTAATCTCTGTGTTAAGAGACCAATTAATATCCCGGCTTGTCAGCCGTATTTTTAGTTCCCCAAGATCAGCTCTGCTAAACCTCAAGACAGACAGTTCCATCACCGCAAGCTAAGCCTCCTCCTTCTAACTGCTCTGTCTTGGTGTCCATGGAAAAGATACACAAACGGCTCTTGGGGGACACAGATTGTCTTTAACAACCAGACTTCTACCAAACATGAAATAACGTGAAAACGTCTTCCAAAATGACCAAAAGAATTCCAACACAGAAGTCAGATAAAAGTGTGGATGTGGAACACTGAACAACGTATCCCGCAAAGGTGTAAAATTCCTAATGCTACAAATGCGCCAATAGCTTCCAAGACCGATAATTTGTAGAAAAAAGCTGGCCACGTAAAGCAAAGCATACCACGTTCTCAGGGAGAATTTGCAAAGTCGTTTTCAGCTGGTCAGCCGGAGACAGAGTTTCTGGAAGGTACAGCGCTCTGGATAATATAAGCAGGGAAGTTGGGATTTCTTGATTCAGATGCAAGTCCAACCACTGCAATTAAAAGATAAAATATCAGAAGTTTTTGGTTTGATGCAGAGACCATACTAAAGCAATTATTCCTTTAAAAGAAGGTCTTTGGCGGGGGGGGGGGGTGAAATTAGATCTTAACTTGCAATATTGTTTCCAAGTGGGACACACAAAATGGGAGATATAATAAAAACCAAAATAGAGGTTCTATATAATTTGCCTCAGAGCAACATCTCTTCTCAAAGTAAGGTTTTTGGATAGCACAAGATCATAGTTGGAAAAGTATTAGTAGTTATAATATACTACATAATGCAAATATTACTGAAAACATACCCCAAAAGGCCAGAAATTATCAAGCCCAGGGTAGCAAAAACTGGCAATCTAGCTGTTCCACCAAGTTCCAAATTCCGAAAAAAGTATTAAGTTGCCAGGAATACCATCATTGTGTTTTTATAGATTTCATAAAACAGGGGTGAGCAAATATGGCCCCTTTATGACCTGTGGACTTCAACTCCCAGAATTCCTGAGCCAGCTTGGCTATCTCAGGAATTCTGGGAGTTGAAGTCCACAGGTTGTAAAAGGGCCACAGTTGCCCACCCCTGTCATAAGAGAGTTTGTGAAAAGTTTTAGGATGCAATACAAATTCCAAAAATGACTAGCAGAGTTCATTCCTTTGATAAAATCTCCTTCCAGATTTGGTCAAAGGATGTGTGTCAAAATATAGATCAGGAATTGTCAAGCAGAGAGAGACAGAATTATGTTCCCTCGATTATTGCTTAAAAATTTGGATGTCTGCAGAAGCCAAGCCTCCCACAGCAGAGGTTGGGGTGTTCCATCCAATAAGCAATGTGGGGTTTTTTCCTGCCATTCTGGTCTTAAAAGACGTTTGTGCCACCACACACATATGCCTGATTGTGTATACAGACACACCATCTACAATTCAAAATATCAACCTTGAGCTAGAATTATTTTTATGGCAGTTTTTAGCAGAGCTTTGCTGGTTCTAGAGCCGTTCTCTCTCATGAAGAATTATTCTCAGCGCTTCTGGGCATTAATTGTTCCCATCTGGATCCAGTTTGAGTTTTGGCCTCGTGACAAAAGCCTTCCAATACTCCTAGCGGATGAAATACCTGCTTCAGCTGATCCTTTAATCGCTCCTCTGTGACGCCAAGGGCTCTCATGCCCCTCGCTCGGCAGGCTGCTTGCAACTCTTTTACTGTCAGGCTATCCATGCCCTCCTCAGTTATCAGCTAGACAGGGCGAAAGATGAACATCTACAGCGCATAGAAACTCATTCTCCAAATATTCAGAAATAACTGTTATAAATAGCTCTCTTCATTTGTAACAATAGCTCGTAACCATTCTCCGCTTGAGCCCTCCTCCCTGCCGGCGTTCCCCACCACATACATCGTGACTCTAAAATTAATTTTCTTTTCCACAACACAGTTTCTTTAAATAAACTGTCAACAAAAAAAAAGATCCCCTTACTTTATCATCTGCTTTGATACTTCTCAGTCTCATGATTAGCTGGAAGCGAAGAAAGTTGTTTGTTCCGATTGACTGAAGTTCTAAAAGTTTACACAGAGCAACCAGTTGGGGCCTTGTGAGGTTGTCCAGGGTCAGCTCGTCCTCAAACAGTTTAGAAAACCGTAAAATCTCTTCGTTGCTCGGCCTCTCACCAGTCTCGCGTATCTGAAATCATAAATTGTACGCTATAAAGTCTTAAAGACGGTATCCGGAACTCTTTCCTCAGAAAGGCAAGGATTTACTCTAAGAAATGTTAACTATTGTATCAGATGTATCTATTATCATCATCCACTTGGAAGCCTAGTGATAAAATGTAACAACATAATTTAAATTTTTGAGACAAATTGAATACCTTTTGAAAGAAGGTTGAGAAATCCTTTGTAGCATTCCCTTTAGCTGCTTTGTTTTTTAAGGCAATCTCTTCAATAGTATCTTGAAGAAATTTAGCCACCTCAAGTTTTACTCTCAGTTCTTTCTTCAACCTCTCTTCCTAATAAGGAAAAAAAAAGCATTTTAACAGAAAGCTGTTCCAGACTGACGTTAAAAATTAATTTCCCATTATGTCCGCTTTGTACACTATTAAATATCAGAGGAATACAATATTTAGCAACATTCTTACGTAAGCTCTTCTAGCCTAGGAACAGTTATTGGAAACCAAGTCCAGCTAAACGAAATGGGTTTATTCCCAATTAAGCATGCAAGTCTGCATCTTTGCATATAATTATCTAAATGAAGAGCCGCTCTTCAACGGCTTCATCAAGGTATTTTCCGAGCCCTCTCGCTAAAAATGAGTTCTTTTGCATTTGGATTTAAAGCCCTTCGCATGCAAATTTCCTGAAGTCAACTTCCTTAGGTCTAAGCTGAAGTGAAAGACACGCACCTTTAACAAAAATGAACGCATAGTTTAATATTAGAGAGAGGGGTCTGCAGACAGCATGGTCCACCTAGTAGAGGTGCTTTGAAACACTTAGGGCCACCTGCTCAGGTGTACAGGTCAACGGGTATTTTAACCAGGGATGCTACGACTCTCTAAAGACTTTTCTACATTTCTACAAATACTTCTTGATATAATGGTTACCTTCTTAGAGTTTGTCTCAAATGTCGAAGGAAGCATATTGGGGAACAACTTCAAAGCTACGGGAAGCAAGAATTCCATGAAGGGAACCACGATGAAGACGAGGAAAGGGACCAAGCGAAAGAGGTCAGCGCAGATCCGAAGGAACTGCAAAGAAAAAAAAAACCAAGCTTCGGTTTATCACAAGAGAAAAATGAAGAGAGTCATTATCATGCGGCTAATTGACAAAATCTTTTTGGGAGCTTTAACTATTTAAAAAAAACCTGATCAATTTTATCAAGCTTATTTCTTTTCAGACCAAGTAACGCATCCTTCCTACTTTCAAGAGAGAGAAAAACAGTATTACCGGAAATAAACTTGTCCTTTACTGCAAATGAAGCTGCAACCTTTACATAGAGTCAATTGAAGACTGTATAACTTCCCTTTCAGCAGAGCAGGTACAAACAGCACTATTAACTGTAACCATCACTGCGTAAAAGCGGCTTTTCTCTGTATTAAGAGAAATTGTGGGTTCCGTGCCGTGCCAGAATCATGTGTTATTTTGCTCCATCTATGTTCATGACACAAATGCACTTCTCGTTAAAAAACATGTTCTTCTTTGCAGTTTTCCAACCTGACATACATAAATTGGCTAGTTTTTGTACTTTTGCAAGAAAAATGAGATAACAAGGGTCTATTATTACGTTTAAAAGCATGATAATAAAATCCATACAGGTAGTCCTCAACTTACAGAGCTGGGACAATGTCTATTGATGAGTAAGGTGGTTATGTCACACCCAACCTTTTTGGCCATGGTTGTTAAGTGGGTTGTGTGGTCATTAAACGAATCCAGCTTCCCCATTGCCTTTGCTTGTCGGAAGCCATCTGGGAAGGTGCAAATGGAAGTCACATGACCCTGGGATGTTACAACCGCTGCAAATACATGCCAGTTGCCACGCACACGAATTCTGATCATGTAACCATGGGGATGTTCGATGGTTGTAAGTGCGAGGACTGGTTGAGGATTACCTGTATTGGTGTAACATTTCAAACCCTGTGTTGCTGAATTATTCAGATCTGGTCATCCTTTTTTAAAAAACTAAATTAACATTTTACCCTATCTGATCTACCTTGCACTTTATATCTACCGAGTAAAAATGTTCTGTAACTCTTGTGAATATAGACAAACACACACACATTTTTTCTTTGTTAATTATTTCTTCGCATCTTTAATTTCTTTGCTTCCGGTATTTCATTTATTTGTTACCAGAACTGAAGGTCTCTGAGCATTAAAACACCTGCAATGGCTTGGTGATATTCATTTCCTCTTTGGTGTCCATCCCAAGGGCAGTGCTGTGGGCAGAGTTACCTGTCTGCGTTCCCGGCGGGTCATGGAGCTGCCGTGAAGGATCTGCCAGAGCATTCTGGCGGCAATTATGGAATCGATCCACAACAACCGGAAGCCGTGGTAGTAATGCTTCACCTCATCGACAATCTTCTGCCCAATGGACTTTTTAACGATGGCTTCTTCCACTGCTGGACTATAAACGGGGCCCCCTTCTTCCAACTTCTTGTTTTTGTCTTTCAGGGACTTGAGCGATTTTTCTACTACAGAGTCATCGTTTCTGGATGCTGAAGAATGCCAGTTCCTCACTATAACCCAACAAGGCCCTGAAACTCCTCTGTCGGGAGAGGGCCACAGGGAGTCAAATGCTCTCAGGGCCGCCCCCTGCCTTTTTTCTGATCCTTTTGTCCAAGTGTAGCTGTCTTTTGTACAATAAACGTAAGGTGAGATATTAGTGCAATATTTAAAACGGGCAGGCCTGTAAGAGAGAAAAAGCAGGCTTTAATAGCAATAGCACATGTTATGCTTTTCATCCTACTTATTTCTAGTGACCATAAATTAAGTGGCCCCCCCAAAACCTAACTGTATGTTTGGGAAGCTTCCCTTTGTTCTCCACAAACTAAAGTGTCTTTCCTCACTAGGAGCTTCTCATCCTGGGAAAATACAACGACATTCTGATCAGCAAGCTAGTTAAATGTGGGCTCCAAAATAAGTGGATACATAGTTGACCCCAAAATCTTTGTCAAAGAGTGCCGGTCAGTGGCCCCTCATCAAACTTGAAGAGAGGGTATTACAAATTTCAGTCCTGACAGAAGTCCTATTCAACACAGATATTAATAATTTGGGTGGAGAGGTGAAGGAGATGTTCAGGCAGAAGCTGTAGAGTTAGCTGTTGAGGGTGCCTCTATTTGCATTTTTACCCTGCAATCTGTTGACTGGACTTGGCGGCCTCAGTCCAACTCTATGATTCATTCACACAAAGCATGCATATAATTAGATGTTCCTAAGCATACACACCACTGCTACACAACTGAGTCTGTGAAAACACAAAGTGCTATGACAAAGGGAAAAAATTAAGAACCGAAAGGGAAAACGTTTAAGTGCTAGAAATCCTGAGTTTACTGCTTCAACATTCAAGCAGCAAAGCAAGAGGCTACACCAAAACCCTGAAGACAAAGGGTTTGATGAGAAAGTCTCACAGAAACTAAAAAGTAGCAGGTTACTTGCCTCAGCAAATGGCACCTTAGCTGCTTTGTCTGGGTTCAAGAACAAAGGGAGGCAAACACGTCCCAAATACCTTCCTCCTCCTATTTTTCCCACAACAACCCTGTGAGGTGGGTTGGGTTGAGAGAGAGGAACTGGCCCAGTCACCCAAGCTGGCTACCATGCCTAAGGCGGGATTTGAACTCACAGTCTCACACTTCCTAGCCACTAAATCAAACTGGATCTAGTTAGGCTACTTAACTAGAGTTATTTAAGTTATATTTAAGACAGGACACCCACAAGGAATCCCCTACCTATAAGGCTAGTCTGGCAGATCAAAACTCCTCTCTCCAGAGTTGGAAAAGGAACTTCTGCTTCCTGTAATTGTCAGGAATTCGGAGTAACTTGAGCCCAGGGCTGTAGGAGCAGGATCCCTCAGGAACAAAGGCTTAATGCTCTCCCTTTGAAAGGAGACCCCCCCAGTCAGGGATGGTCACAATGACAGCCTCTTGTCTGGCTGAAATGGGGGGCTGGGGTGAAGGAAGCTCCTTGACAGAAGCAGAGATGGCTTGGGTGTAACCAGGATAAAAGGGAGACTAGTGTTGACTGGGCTTCTCTGCTCAGGGGGCTGCCAAAAAGGAGAGAGAAGGGGGGGGACCCCAATTTCTGAGCAGCAACAGAGAAAACGTTTTCCATCTAGAAAAGAAGAGCGCCTGGAATCATGCAGGCGATGGAAGAAACAGCAGAAACACCGAAGGATCCTGGGCAGCCTAGAGCCGAGTGAGCAAAGCGAGTCCAGGGGTTAAGTGGAGCCATGCCACCTTAGCACTGCTGCTGCTGCTCAGCGGGCGAGAGAGCTGCCATCCTCTCACTGGTTCTTCATTACATGACTCAATTCTTTCCTGGCATTTTCTCTCGTCTCTTGGAAGAACATTTCTGGGATTTCCCACTAATCTGTAATTGCCTCTTATGAGGCTACAGGGAAAAAATAACAATTTTAGGGCTGGGCTTGGGGTTATTTTTTTTTTTAACTAGAACGTTGTGCCCACGGCTTTTGTGGGCAGACATGGCTGCTGCTCTGCTGGTGGGAATCAGCAGGAGAGAGAGAAAATAGGGAGGAGGAAATCAGGAGCAGGGAGTCCTCAACTTACAACAGTTCGTTTAGTGACCGTTCAAAGTTACAACATTGAAAAATGGGACTTATGACCAGTTTTCACAGTTACGACCTTTGCAACATCCTCATGGTCAGGTGATTAAAATCCGGCCGCTTGGCAACTAGTTCATATTTATGACGATTGCAGTGTCCTTAACAACCATGCTACTAACTTAACTGCAGTGATTCAGTGGCACGAAAGGTTGTAAAATGTAAATTCTTTCTGTAAATTCTCTTCCCTATAATTCTATAATCTTCCAAACAAGTGATAATTATTTCCATCCTTTCTATCCTCAGAGGGAAAATCAGCTTGTCACTCTTGGATACTACTAGACAAAGCACCAATAATCCTTTAGGCCACCAATAACTCTGCAGCCCATGTGGCTAAGATGAAAGCCTGAAATTGTAAACATATAGAGGACCACACTTTCATTTTCTGTGTATCTGATGGCAAAATTGCTTTGCCGTTTCTTTTCTGGATTGGATTTTTGGAAGAACATTTCAAAATTATTCTGCTTCTTGCTTTGCACTACTTGTTAAGAAATACTTAAAATTTAAAGAAATACTTAACATTTAAAATGCTTATTTATTTATTTATTTTTATTTATTGGTTCGATTTATATGCCGCCCTTCTCCGGAGACTCAGGGCAGCTTACAATGCGTTAAGCAATAGCCTTCATACTTTTTGTATATACCTGCTTAGTAGGGCTTTCAGGGGTCCCCTAAGCGGTGTTCTTTTTTATACAGAGTCATCTTATTGCCCCCACAATCCGGGTCCTCATTTTATCTACCTCGGAAGGATGGAAGGCTGAGTCAACCTTGAGCCTGGTGAGATTTGAACTCGCAGTAATTGCAGGAAGCTGGCAGCTAAATGCTACTTAACAGCACTTTAGTCTGCTGCACCACCAAGGCTCCTTATATTGTTCAAATTTAAGCTTGTCTGTGCTACGCCAAAATAGACTAACAACCTTAAGGCAGGCATCTTATTTACCCAAAATATGTCCACACATCATAGGAAAAGATAAGCAAAATCCTTTGCAGTGCCCAGCTTCTCTCCTTATCAACCTAAGGTGAAATCCAGCTGAGACCAATCCTGCAGACTTCCTCCCTCTGGAATAAATATGGACACATCTCACACAACATCTATGTGAGTCTATGAACATATGCATCTCCAAACAAACTTGCCAGAAGTTATATTCCATCAAAGTCAAAACAAAATCCTTTAATTAAGAACTACTGACTAAGCTGTACTACCTATAAAATAAGGTAACTCTTCCATCTTAATAACAAATAATGTCAACATAGGCACACCCCATTCAATATCCAACACAAACCATAAAATAAAAATAATGGGAGAGGACTGCGATAGGAACAGGGAAGACTTCACTGAGAAGGGAGGAAACAAAACCGGATGAATATGGGAAGTTGTAACTGAACAGAAATGGAGAAGAAATTAAAGAGAAAAGCCTATTTTGGTACTGTAAAAAGGTAAAAGAACCACACAACCATCATCTCCTAATCAAAGGCTAAACTTTAAGCCACACCTCAAAGAATGTTTCAATCTTTTGTAATTATTTATTACAAACATGTATATATATACCAACTATATATAAGACCCTCCATTCTGTAAACTGTCAAAATAAGCAGGTTACTCGTAATGGCGTTACAAAGATTCATACTTACATGTCTTTTATTAGCCTCATGGAGGAACAGTTAAGACAAGCAAGGTTCTCCAAATGACCTACAAGTAGGAAAAAAGCAGTCTGGGTAGGCAAGCAGGCCAGAAATAGATAAGAACATTACACTTGTACCAGTCTGATATCAAAATAACTTTCTCCACACACTATTCAATACTTCAGGAAGAAATAATGCCATAGTTAAGATCAAGTACAAGAGCCTTCAATGGATTTTGTTAGAGCTCACACAGCAAGAAATTACAGGAAGTCCTTGATTTACAACCACAATTGAGCCCAAATTTTTTGTTGCTAAGTGAGACATTTGTTAACTGAATTTTGCCCCATTTTACAACCTTTCGTTACACAGTTGTTAAGTTGGCAACAGGATTGTTCAGTGAATCTGACTTCCGCATTGACTTCGCTTGTCAGGTGGTCATAAGTATGAACCAGTTGCCAAGCGTCTGAATTTTGATCCTGTGATCCTGGGGATGCTGCAACGGTCTTAAGGGTGAAAAATGGTCATAAGTCAACTTTGTTGAGTGCCGTTGTAACTTCAAACAGTCATTAAAGTGATTAAATGAACCGTTACAAGTCAAGGACTACCTGTACTTAAACTATAAAAATTCAGAGTTGATTAATTCTTTTTTTTAAAATCAGATTGAGTTGGAAGGGATCTTGTAGGTCATCTAGTCCAACCCCCAGGGCCCAAGCAGGAGACCCTACCTACACCCTTTCTGACAGATGCCAGCCCAGCCTCTTCTTGAAAGCCTCCAGTGATGATGCTCCCACAACTTCTGAAATTCTTTTCTGTGCATAGGACAATGGGTGTCTGAATATGTTTCCCCCAAAGGCAGACTGTGCAGAAAATAGTGCAGTCTTTACAGGCACTGTATAAACTGCAGGTGCCCCAAAGGTGTCTCTCAAAGGGCTCAAAAACCTTTTTCCCTGAATAAAGAGCTTGAAGGGACCATGAAGAATTGGTCCTTGCCAGTCCCTGGCATTAAAACCAGAAGCCCTGAGAGGAACGAACGCAGCCACCTCTGATGGGGAAAGGAGAAACCACGGCGATAATATCTGCACGGTTACTTCTCCCGCCAGGCAAAGAAGCTGCTGATTCACCTTAGGAGACACTATTTAAGCTTTTCCCCTCTGTGTTTATAATTCCTGTGCATGTAGGCACCGACTCTTATATTTTCGTTTTTCTGGAATATTCAGCATGTACAGGTAGCCCTTGACTTACAACAGTTCATTTAGGGACCATTCGAAGTTACAATGGCCCCGGAAAAAGGGACTTAGGACTGCTTTTCACACTTATGACCGTTGCGGCGGCAGCATCCCCATGGGTCACCTGATCAAAATCCAGCCTTTTGGCAACTGACTCATACTTATGACCATCTCAGCCGTGTTCACTGGATCCCCTTTGGTGACCTTCTGACAAGCAAAGTCAACGGGGAAGCCGGATTCACTTAACAACTGCTAATAAAATGGGGCCAAACTGACTGAAGTGTCTGGTCCCAATGGCCATGCCGTGGCCGTAAGTCGAGGACCGCCTGTCTTTGCGCCCGGCCTTTGAGGGGCTGGGGGCCGCGGGGGGGGCTTCTTCCAAGGGGGGCGACCCCGTCTCCCCCTGACCCCCCAATCCCGCCTGCTCCGACCCGCGAGGGAAAGCCCAGCTGTGGCCCCGTGGTGGCGGGAGAGGAGGAGGAGGAGGAGGAGGACGTGTGTATCGGCACACAGGGCCCCGGATCCCCCGGCCGGCCTGGCTAAGCCTCTCAGGGAGGCATCCGGGGCCTTCCCGGGCAGGCCGGGATTACCTGAGGAGACCCGGGGACATCCCATAATAGCGTCCCGGGAAGGGAAGGGCTCCCGGGGCCTCCGGAGAAGCCGCTTCGCCTCTCACGGACGGGGCCCTCAGCCGCCCCCCCACCCCCTCCCCTCCCCCCCACACACAGAGAGAGAGAGAGGCTTCTTCCCCTGCCTGAGGGGATCCACCCCGGAGGGGGGTCGGCCGCCCTTCGCCCTTCCTGCCCGCCAAGGCTGCCCTCCCCCTCCTCCTCCTCCCCCGGCCCTTCCTTCTCACCTGCCGCGGCGGCCTCTCCGCAGCCCGTCCGGGGCAGCCCCGGCGCCCTCCGCGCGCATCGCCTCAGCAGCACGAACGCCGCCATGCCTGGGCCTGCCAGCCGGTCTGCGCCTGGGCGGGGGCGGAAGTGGCCGCGGGGCACGCCGGGAGGTGGAGTCTTCCGGGGAGGAGAGGGGAGGGGCGGCGGGAAGGAGGGCCACGTGCTGCGGCCGCCTCGGAGAGCGGAAAAAGGAGGCGAGGGTCGCCTGTGGCTGCCAAGAAGGGGCCTCGGAGGCCCTCTAGTCCAGCCCCCTGCTCGAGCAGGAGCCCCGACCACGACGGTCCGGTCTCTTCTTAAAAGGCCCCGGGGCTTGGATGCGATGCAGCCCTATGTGCGCCTGCAGGGCCGCCCCGGGAAGCTGGTTGCATAAACATAAGCAGAGTAAGAGACGCGGGAGGGGCCTCGGAGGTCCTCTAGTCCAGCCCTCTGCTCGAGCAGGAGCCCCTATGCAATTTGAGACAAGCGGCTGTCCGCTCTCCTCTTAACCTCCAGGGATGGAGCCCCAGAAGCTCCACCGGTCGATTGTTCTCCCTGTCAGGAAATTCCTCCTTGCTTCCAGGTTGCTTCTCCTGCCTTCAGGGGCTTTGGAGAATAGGCTGACCCCCCACCCCCACCCCCACCTCCAATATTGCAAAACTGCTAATCCTGCCCCGCTCCACCCCACCCCCCACCCCCGTCCTTCTTTCTCTAGACTGGCCGTAGCCAGTTCCTGCAACCTTTCTTCGTGTCAGGCCTTTAATCGTTTTAGTTGCTCCTCTTTGCACTTTTTTTTTCAAAGTCTCCACGTCTTTTTATATAGTGGTGATCAGCACTGGAGGGAGGAGGCTTCCCAGCATGGCCTTATCAAAGGATCATAAAAGACTGCTAATAATTCAGTGATGCCCTTGACTCTCTCCCGCTCTCAACGCAGCCTAGGATTTGCATCGGCTTCTTTGGCTGCTGCCCTGGGAATAGAAAGGCAGCCTTTGGCTTACATGTGACAGGCCTACAACCTTTCCTTCAGGGACCGGACAGTGACCACAAAGCATTGAGAAAAGAGACAACTAGAGACTCGGGTTTATGACGGTCACAGTGTCCCGGGGTCACAGGATCCCCTTTTGTGACTTTCTGACAAGCAAAGTCAATGGGAAGCCAGATTCACTTAATGACCCTGTGATTCACTGAACTGGAATGATTCAGTTAACTGGCAAGAAAGGTCACAACATGGAGCAAAACTCACTTAACTTTCTTGCTTAGCAATGGAAATTTGGGGGGCAATTGAGGTTGTAAGTTGAGGATTAGCTGTATATCAAGTCCCTGAAGCGCCTGTTTCCCAAAGGTAGAAAATTCCTCTTTTTTTTTTCCTTTTGCATTTTTATCTACCCAGAGAGATCCTGGAAACTGAAAAGCTTTGCAAGTAATTTAGATGGCCCAGAAAAACTGTAGCTGTTTAACAGAAACAAGGCAGGCCACTTATACTGTAGGAGGAGATCCTGACTTGATTTCTCTGGTTTATTATGATGAATTTGTAACTTCCACCGTGGGAGAAAGGAAAAGGTTCAGGCATTCATTGTTCCAAGTCAGTACAGGAAAAGAGGGCTCCCTGGCCATGGATTAAGTCTCTGGTTTTTAAGCCTCATAAGAAGCCATGATTTCTTATCTGTCGAGTGAGCTATAACTGGCTTCAGAAATCATTGTAACAAACCAATCAGCGGTGAAATCCACCCAGATCTATCCGGCTCCTGCAAACCGGTAGGGCCCCGCCCACCCGCTGGGACGTCATTATGTCCCGTTTTTGACCCTCTGCACATGCACAGAAGCAGCACAAGCGTTCACATTTCCGAACCGGTAGCGAAGGTCAGTGCATTTCACCACCGAAACCAATGATTGCTTTTAAGTAGCACACAAACCAGACATGTTAATCAAAGCACGTACTGATCCAAAAGTGAATTATTTATTTACTTTATTTGTCATGGAAACAAAAGTTTGGAGGCTTAAGATAAAATTACAATGCATTTGTTGCATTATGAAAGTTGAAAGCGGAAATAAAGAAATGGAGAAGCAAAAAATTGGGAAATCCAGGATGAAGGACATAGCCCTCATTTTGCACTAACCCCACTCTTTCCTTCCGTGATATTTTACTTTTACCCATTTTTATTAAACCAATTTCTTTGAGGGAGATTATTATTTATCTGTCTATTTATGGTTTTTATTGGCTGTCCATCTTACGCAAGGGAAAGTCTGGGAAACTTACAGTTATAAAATGTCGATACATTTATATACCGTTATTAAAACAAATAATTAAAAAACTTTAAAACCTAAAGACACTGGGGAGAGCAGCTGTGCCCCTCCCCCCAAGAGAGAAGAAGCAGACAGAAAAACAAACTACAAAGACAAATGAAGTTGCCCACTGCAGCATGGAAAAGACCCCCCTCCCCCCCCATGAAGCCCCAATAGTTAATTCTCCAAGCAGGCTTTGCAGCCAGATTAACTTTATGAGTAAACACCGAGTAAAGGTGGAGGTATAAAATGTAATACAGGGAGTCTTTGACCCACGGTTGTTAACGGCACTGAAAAGTGTCTTACAACCATTTTTCGCACTTGGGACCTTTGCCGCATCCCCAGGGTCGCACCATTTACAACTGGATGCCTGACAACTGACTCACATTTATGACGGTTGCATGTCCAAGGTCATGTTTTTTGCAACCTTCTGCCCAGCGAAATCAATGGGGAAGCCAGATTCACTTCACAATTGGGTTTAACCACGGCAGCAATTCAAATACCAATGTGGCAAGACAAGTCGTAAAATGGGACAATACTCCCTTAACGCATCTCTCGCTCAGCAACATAAATTTTGGGCTCAATTGTGGTCCTAAGTCGAGGCCTAACCCTAACCTTACAAAACTCTCTCTTCTGTTCATGGCTACTAGTCTGAATGGCTGCCCCTAATCTTCGTGCCTTGATCCCCGACCTAGCTGAGCCCCAAGACCCCATCCTGGATCTTTGCTCTCTGGTCTTCCTCTCCTGGAATCTTATCCGCAGTTTTCCGGTTGAGGTCTCAGGCCTCTTTCCTTCTTTCTGGCCGTCCCAAAGTCCTTTGAAATCAGATCCCAAGTAACATCACTTTCCCTAGTTCTGTTTTAGGGAAACCAGATTGAGTCTTTTCAATCACAACCGTGGGCTGGACCGACTGTAGAATCGCCCAGGACGGGCTTCCCGCAAAGGGCAGCGGGTGGGAGATTGGTGGGGTCCCCAACTTCAAATCCTCCCAGCTGAGCCCCCAACCGCCTGCAGTTCTCCCTTGGGCAGCTGTTGTGGAGCTGACCAGCCTGATGTGGGGGAGGGGGGGCTCCCCTACCCAGGACCCCTCCATGCTGGGCCCTCCCTGCCGCGGGGGCGGGGGCGGGGGCGGCAGGGGCCCCTTTGTGTTGCAAAAGGCGGCCCTTTGTGCCCAGAGGCTGGGCCGGAAGGGAAGGGGCTGCCCTGGTGGGCGGAGATGCCCATGCGGGCGTCCGCGGGCGCCAGGCTGCTGCGGGGGCGCCGCGGGGCAAGAGCTCTCCGGGTCGGGGCGCGATCGCTGGCGCTGCAGGCGGGACCCCGAGACGGGCAGGCTCTCCCTGCAGGAGGCGCGGCCCTTCCAGGCGGCGGAGGTGCACGCGGGGCCCGCGCTGCCCGTGGCGGGGGTGAGCCTGGGGGGCGGGAGGGGGGGCACGTGGGGGGGGGGTCGGGGCTCCGTGCTCGGCGGCGGCGGCGGCGGCGGCGGGTTTGAATGGGGCGCGGCGGGTCCGGCGGCGCGAAGGCGGCGTGGCAGCCAATCAACGCGGGGCATTTTTCGCGCTGGTTTCGGCGGGCGAGGAGGCGGCGGCGGAGGCGGGTCCGCGGGGCGGTTGGGCGGCCGGCCGGGGCGGCGGCGGGAGAGGCAGCCGGAGCAGCGGCACCCCCAGCCCGGCCCAGCGCCAGGCGGACCCCCGGACAACCGGCAGGCGGGCAGGTGAGTGGAGGCGCCCAGGCCCTCCCGGGGCCCCCAGACGCCCCCTCCCCTCCCTCCCTCCCTCCTCCCGCGACCCCCGCCCTCCCCCCCGCCCTCTGCCAGCCTCTCCATCCCTTCCAGCCTTGGCGGCGGCGGCGGCACTGGACGGACGGACGGACGGACGGACGGGCGGGCGGGCGGGGAGCCTCCGGGGGCGGCGGGGAAGCCATGATGGCTCCGTTCTCTGGACGGACGGAGGGAGGCAGGGAGGGAGGGGGGGATGGATGGCTGGGGGGGAGGGGAGGGGAGGGGGGCGTTGGGGGGGGGCGAGGCGGCCACGTGCAGCGGCGGCGGCTCTTTCTTCTGCCGGGGCCGGGAGGGAGGCAGCCACGCGGGGAAGGGGCGCAGGCGATGCGCCGCAGGCCCGGCTCGGCGTCTCTTCCCGGGGAAGCGGCTCCCCCGAAGGCCCGCCGGCCTCGCTCCTTCCCGGGCGGGCGGGCGCTGGAGCCGGGCGGGGGATCCCCGGCTGGGGCTCGGGGTTACCTGCGTGCCGGGCGCCCTTCCCAGCCCCGCGTGGCTCCTTCCGCCTCGCCTCCCGCGGGGGCTCCGCTCGCCCGGCAGGTCCGCCTTCGCGGGTGGCCCGTGGCGGTGCCCGACGTCCCCGGAGCGGCCCCAGAGTTGCGCCCCTTTGTAGGCAGGGATGGGGCTGCGCGCTGCGGCTCCTGGCTCGCCCGTCGGCACCGGAGCCTGCAGGCGTCGCCGGGACAAGAGCCGGAGCCGGGCCGGCATCCCTGCGCCGCTCCGAGGAAAGCGAAGCGACGCGGCCTCCCGTGCAGGCTGGGCAGGGGCGGCGGGTGGAGCCCCCGGGGCCTTTGCGCTTCGGCCACCCGGGCTGAGCCGGCGTCCCTCGGAGGCCCGTGTGGGGCTGGGCGAGGGGAAGAGGCGCCGCTGCTCTCCGTGCAAAGAGGAGCTGGAAGCGGCCGGCAGCATCCCTCCGTGGCCGAGGCCCGGCGGCTTTGTTGCGGCAGAGAGGAAGCCCTTCTCCCCGAACCCCCGGCCCTTCGCCTGCACCGCCCAGCCGCCCTTTCCTTGGCCTGGAGGTGACAGGAGGCCTGCCGTGCCAGAAGCCCCGGGGCTCCCGGGAAAGGCGGAGGGAGAACTGCCGTCCGGTTTTGCCCGGTGCTGGGGGATGCCTGGACCTCCCCCCCTCCCCTCCCCTCCCCCCTTGGTGAATCCGGGTTTAATGGCTGGACAGGTGTGACCCCTGAGCCCAGGCGGTGCGTTCGGCCTTTGTCTGTTGATTGATGGGTCTCCAACCTGTGGCCAGTGGCTCTGAGGGCCCATAAAACTTTCAGAAATCTCTCAGGGGCATCTTTTTGTTCTCTTAAAAGAAGCGAGGGTCACCCAGCAGCCAAGAAAACACCAGTTTCTCCCATCCAGCCGGTCCCGTAAGGAGGCTGACAAAGAGCCGGCGGGGACTCCCTTTATCGGTCCGATTTTGGCCGTTAACTGACTTAAAATGTTAAATGAATGAATTTTTGTTCCGCCTATCAAAATTGGATTTCTCACACCACTTTTGATGAACGTTAAATCTGGGCTCATTTAAAAAAAACCATTTGGAATTCATCTCTTCCTGTCAGTAAAATAGGGCGGCTTATTTATCTTTATTGATTAAATTCCTATGCTACCCTCCCCCCCCCCAAGGGATTGTTTGTTTGTTTGTCAGTCAAATCAAGACGCTGTTGCTTTAAGGGTTAACTTTGGTGACTTTGGATCCCTTGAGCGGCAGCATTTTTGTAGGTTTTTGAAAATTCCTGAAAAAATATACGTTACTTTAATTAGTGGTTTGGTCTCGCACACAGACACAAGGTTCAATTCACATCTTATGAATCATTTAAGCACATACGGTTCTCCATGTATTCATCCAAATTTAAAAAATGGTGCAGGACACATAAGGCCCATCGCAAAATTGTGTGGTGCCATATTTGATGGTACTTCAGTTTCACGGGGATTGCTGATTGTAAACTGACTATATAGTCCTTTAAATTATCCTGTCCTCTAACCAACAATCTGCTAAGGAAGCAAGAAATAAAATAAGGTTGGCCTCAAAAGATTTGTTTCTGACTAACCCTTCCTGATTACTAACAATTACGGCGTGATTTTCAAGCTGTTACAGATTAATTTCTTTTATGATCTGCAGATCGTCAAGTTTGTTTAATATTCTAGCCAGTGTTTCTCAACTTTGGAGACTTTAAGATGGGTGGACTTCAACTCCCAGAATTCCCCAGCCAGCTGGCTGGGGAATTCTGGGAGTTGAAGTCCACCCTTCTTAAAGTCACCAAGGTTTATAATTTATCTGGTCCTAGAGATTTAGAAAGTAAATGAGTATTTCCTGATTGTGTTTTCCTAAACGAGATCGAGTCTTTTCTCATAATTCTTCTTCCATTTATACAACCCTTTCGTCAACATTCCTGCTGCTCCCATTTCCCCATCTTAGGTGTCCCTAAACATAAGTCTGTTTGGCTTGTTGTATATCCCTCTGCTCTCTGAAGGAGAAAGTTTTGAGCGAGATCAATTGGGAATTTCCTGAGCGGAATTTGTCCAGCAGAAAGGGTGTCCCAGAGGATTTCAAGATAATTCATATCTTCCACAGGTGCTTCTTGCAAAGACGGATACATGGGCGATAGACACCAACAATTCTATAGGTCGTCCTCCCCTCAACAACCATTCATTTAGTGACTGTTTGAACTTACAGTGGCACTAAAAATGTGGCTTATGACTGTTTTTCACCCTTACGATCATTGCAAGCATCCCCATGGTCAAAATTCAGATGCTCGGCCACTGGCTCGTATTTATGACGGCCGCAGCGTCCCAGGGTCACGTGATCCCCTGTTCTGACGAACAAAGTCAATGGGGAAGCCAGTGTCACTCGCTTAACGACTGTGTCACTCACTTAACTGCAATGATTCATTTAACAACTGTGAGAAGACAGATTGTAAAAGGGGGGGAAACTCAATCATCTCGCTTAGCAACAGAAATTTTGGATTCAGTTGTGGTTGTAAGCCGAGGACTACCTGTATTCCTTTTTATGTATTCCTCCGCTTATTTCAACCCCGTGGAGTTAATCTGGTTTTATTCCCTTGCTGAAGGTGTGGATTTTTTAAAATATAGGTAGTTCTCATGACTGTAATGGAGCCTGCCAATTAGGGTTATAAGTTGTGAAATGGGTTTAGCCACATGACTAAACCTGATTTTACAACTTTTTTTGTGTGCGGTGGTTGTTAAAGGAACATCGCGGTTGTTAAGCGAATTCGTTTTCTGCTGTTCTACAGTTTCACCGAAAATTGGAAGCATCTTAGTTTTCAGTAAAGCATGGTCACGTGACTAAAAATGGTGGTAAATGCAGCCATGTTGCTAAGCGCCGGAAATGCAGTCACATGACTTCAAGAGGGCCAACCATCAGACCCGCTGATCTCAGTACTAAGTCTCCTTTTTCAGGTAATTCATAAATTTGGACTGCAGCTTCTCCCTTTTTTGTCTTTCAGTTCCTTTTGGGTAGATTCTTTTTAAAATTCCTCCTTCCATTGCTTGCATCTAATCATGGGAACCATCCCGTCAGATGTTTTCATTCATTCGTTAAACGATGCTCTCTGGGGCTAGAAATCCCAAGTCTACCTTGCTGATTACTTCCGCTTCCGACATTTTTATTTATTCCCCATAGTTTGCACAGAGGAAGGAAATGGATGTGCTAGCCCCCTTCCTCAATAGCCTTTCAGGGTCTTTGTCCCTGAATAAGAAAGGATTCGTAGAGGCTGAGAGCCCTCCTGATCCAGGGGCCCATTTTTGGGGGGCTAGTTCTTGTGGTGTCTCGTGAGTTCTGCCCCTTCATCTGGAGAACTTGAATCAAGCGACAAGTTCTTCCTGTTCTTTACAGTCTGCACAGTCTAATGTACCAATAAAGGAGGGTATTTGTATCTCGGGGTTGAAGTGCGCCGTCCTCGCTGCTCTCTGAGCTTGGTGGTTTCCTGCCAGACATTTCATGACCCAGCTAGATAACATCATCAGTGCTAGTAAGGAGTCCTGGCTAGAACTGACAATGTTACCTAGTTTAGGTGAGTTGTTTGCAAGAAAACAACCAAGTTCAGAGAGCACCAGGGACTTCTCATTGTCTCAGGGAGTCCTCGACTTACAACAGTTCTCTTAGTGACCGTTTTGAAGTTACAACAGCACTGAAAAAAGTGACTTATGACCGTTTTTCACACAGCCATTGCTGCATCCCCATGGTCGTGTGATTAAAATTCAGGCGCTTGGCAACTGACTCATACTTACGACAGGGTCACGTGATTACCTTTTGTGACTTTCTGACAAGCAAAGTCAATGGGGAAAATAAATTCACTTAACTGCAATTTAACAACTGCGGAGATTCACTTAACAAACGGGACAAGAAAAGTCATAAAATGGGGCAAAACTCACTTAACACATTTTCTCACTTAGCAACACAAATTTTGGGCTCGGTTGTGGTCGTAAGTTAAGGACAGCTTAGCTACTTAGTTCTCTTCGATGGACAGGTTGGCTGATGGGGAATATCAGGCTCCAGGCTTTTTTTTCCCTCTAGAACTCCAAAGCCCATGGCGTTTCACATTTTTTATCTTTTTTAAAAAAAAAAAACCATTCTGTGCCTATCAGAATTAGCAGGAAAGAAAGTTTATTGGCAGGGGCTCAGTAAGTACTGGAAATTGTTTTGTCACATCCTTAATATTTGCTCCTGGCAAAGAGCGCGTTTCGCATACCGATGAATGTAGTTGGCACAGATTTGTTTCGCTTGCTCACAGTTATGAGTCACCAACTACCACAAACCTTCAGTTGACTTGATGCAATTACAACTTTTCTGCCTGTCAGGGGTCCGTCATCCTGTCTCCTGTTCATAATCATATTTGATATTTTTATCTCTTTTCTTTATGGAGAGGCCAGACTTGATTGCCTTCGTGGCATAGTATCGGTTCCTTAGGCCTTGCGGTGGT